AAGTTTAGTTCACAACTCAATTTGCATCAAACAAACAAACTTCTCATATCAACAACATATTTACAGCTTAAATTTCAATACGAAAAAGCAATTTAAAGTTGACGCACTCATTCCAAACCAAACAAATTCGTTATGAATCAAACCCTCGTCTCGTAACATCCCATCTAATTAAAATACAATAAAAGATTTTAAATGAACACACCACACCACATGTTTATACAAATGAAGTTAATTAGTACGCGTCAGAATCATTTCCCAGACAGCGCCATCTGTGGACAGATAGTTCGCCTGTCGACAACCGTACCAATCGATTTGATACATCAAGTTTTTATCATTCGATTCCTTCACAGAAACACCGAATCGAATTCGGATGCCGTAACGTCAATTAGTGAATACTCTCACAGTTTCTTATGACGTTTTTTTGTTAAACACTGACTTGTATTTAAATATTATAAAACAGCAACTCTATTTCTGTTAAATTCATATTTTTCGTAGTTTCAACGAAAATATAAAATTTTAATCGTAGCTTGGAAATTCAAAGAGGATTATTTAAAAAAAGCATACACGGCTTTGATACTGGCAGACGACAAAAAAAGAATGCGATCGCCGGCCGCGGTGACGGAAAAAAGGAGATGTCCGGACATTACGCGGCGCTTTGCCGCGCCCTCTCGTGGCTGTTAGCTCGATATTCGAATTGATTGGAAAAATAAAATAAAAACGTACCGTACAAACTTTACTCTCCTTTGAGGTGTTTGAGTGTCGTGTTCTATTCGGTTCTTTTAAAAAATGTTTAACCAACTACTAGATGAATGTATGACGCAAAATAAGGTTTAGTGTTAATTTATACCCTACTGCTTTTTTTCTAAATGTTTTTTACCAAATACTAGCTACTCATGATTTTTTCAATAATGGTACATTACATGGGATTGTAATTATTGTTTTCTAGGTAAGTAACATTGTTAAAATATTTATGAAAGAAAAGTTTTTATCTACCAACAGATGGCGTTACTAGTCTCTCATAGTCGAAATAATTAAACGCAATTACACTATATACGGAAAATATAAATAGAAAGTTAATCTTTTAAAATAGCTATTCTTTTTACGGAAAAATGGCTTCGTCAAGTCGTTATTCATCCGCTGGAAAATACGCGATGTAATATTTTTATCCCTCTAGAACCTTCTTCGGTGTATTTTAATTGGGGTCTTATTTCAGTATACGTGTCAACCCCTCTTGTTTATCGGCGAACAAGTTTCCCCTTCACAGTTAAAATTAAGATAAATTAGATAGGTAAAATATATTGACGTAATATTATGGATGGTACATAAGTAGAATAAAACCTTTTTCGTGTTTACCATTTACTTCGATTAAAAAATAAATTGATTGAAATATCCATATTTATTATTTAAATGATTGATTTTAACGGTTGAAACAAAATCATTGTAAAGTATGCAACGCAAAAATTGTTGTTTTATTTTATGATAATCGCATTATAATCGAGATCAAATTGATGCATAGTAATATATCATGCTCCACGACATAATAAATAACTCTTAGTCTTAATATTTTAAAATATAAGACTAAAGCAACAATTACTCGACACACACTTTTGTAGACATTTTTATTTGGTATAAATAACCTAATGTTTTTACGATTCATTTCACAAAGTACACATTTTTATAATCCAGAAAGTTCAACTCGATTTTAATGAACCTTACAATAAATATTTTGTTCATTTATTATAAAAACATCCTTATTGCTGTAGATTTAAGTCGCAATTTCCTTGTTTCGAAATGTGAAGGTTAAACTGTACCTTCAAGATCAAGGATAAATTCTAAAGATATTGTAATGAGTTGTAATGATTTACTAAAAAAATCTGATTGCCCTTTTTATTTCATACAGTTACTTATTTGCTTAAAGAGTATAACTAGAAGAGTGAAGTTGTTACCCAAAACATATTAGATACCTATAGTACAAAATATGTATATTGAAAGAAAGAAAGGAGATATTTTTTAGGCCTACACGTTGTAGTAATGATCGCAGTTTTATTGATTAAAGGACTTAGGAATCGAGGATATACGCTTATTTCTTCAGCGATGAAAGGGTTACACTTCAGTTGCGCAGTAAAAGGTATGTCTGTGACTACACAATTTAGAACAATGTAACGGAGAGAGGTATGGAAAAATTACGGACTTCAATTTGGCATGGCCATTTGCCACCTTCTATGTGCCAGACACACTTCACTCGCTTTATTGCCTTAATTTGTATCAAGACAGATAAAATACCTAACAAGATCATTGATCAGATTCATGTTTTTCAAACATGTCATCGAAAACAAATCCGTTTTTTAACTATCCGTAAAAGTATCGACCATAACTAATGCAAACCATTTAGTAGCGTCAACAAAAACGTTTAATTTTCGCCGGCGTAAATTCTATTGATTGGCAATTATTTTTTCTATTTATTTACTTATATCTTGAACAGATTTAATGCAAAAAGGTGAAGGGAACTGGTTCTTACGAACAAACAAATCTTATGACAGATCTATATGCAATGGCTAACTGGTAGCACGTTTTGTTAAGCTAGGCGTTTTGATTTCGATTAATTTATGGATTATTGTAATAAAAAAGCGTAAATATAAACTTTTTAAATCGCTGTAACTGATTATGTTTGAAGTCTTCAAGGCGGAATTAAAATTGAAATGGCGCCAATATTTAGTGGCATCTTTAGGTAAGTTTTGTTTTTATTTTTTCGTCTTGACAAAGTTATTAACAAGCATTAATTGTGAAGTTAACTTAATTGTAGTTGTATGATGAGATATAATCAAATTATTTGCTTTTGAATTGAGAAAGTAAAATGCACGTTTATCAATTGCGACCCCAGTTAAGGTTTTTCTTTTTAATTTTACAGTTTGTTTCATAAAAAATCGCTGAATATATACTAACTATAGTTACTATTGTACTTAAAGTTATTGCAAGTTTATAGCCCAACAAGTTACTACAACAAAACCTCAAGGCGAACGAGACTCCCTTAATTAATAAACACGATTGCTTTTGTATCCGCGTCGGTCGCTGGACTTTTGAATTGCATTGCACTACGGTGAATATGATTCTATCCCTTAAATAGGATAATCTCAATAGCGCTTTCTTAAGCTTGAAAGCTTGCCAACCGTAATATTACATAAGTATTATCATACTTAGTTGAACGAACGAATTAGAACGAAGAAAATCTACAGTTTAAATAAAGTTTTCCATATTTTCTTATCGACAGCGTTGATACAAACTAACGATTACTCATTTTATTGTTAGTAATTATTTATATTAGAACGAACGTGTTAGACTCAACGATTTTAAGGGTTATGGATATAATGTCGGTCACTTAAACACTATCCTGGCTTACCCGTCTACGGACGAGGCCGGGATGGTGTTTAAGTTGGCCGACATCTGTTTAAGAAAACAGTGAGTTAATTAAGTTTTGTTTGTTTAAGATTTATGGGGCGTTATCGTCACTTCGCGACAAAGCCCCCAGCAAAAATAAATTTAAAAAAAATTTTCTAACATTTTTTTTATAAAAGACCATTCCGTACAATTTACAATTTAAAAATGGTATTAAATTGTGGCTGTTTCAACTTTATGATAGATTTGTAGTCACCCTAAAGACAATACCTTTTATAATTATAGCACGCGCACTACCTTGGTATTGCTAGCAAGGTCAGAAAATAAAACAATAAGCTAAGTGTTAAAACAAATTTAAGATGTATGTCATCGACACACAATTTTAAACATTTATAAAAAAAAATGTT